TCATCTTCAGACCGAGTCGCTGCCAGAATCTCCCGTTTGCCATACTCGACCAGCTGGACGAGCTGTGTTTTCTCTACATGCACTAGAGTCGCACCGGTACTGTTGGCAATCAGACTGGCACGCTCTGCTTTCGACGACACTTCCGTGATGAGGCTGTCAATCAGCACGAGGAACTTCTCTTCGGCCTAAGACGTACACAACATAAACGTCAGACGTTATGCAGGTTCTCGTAACACCTGGCCACATCTCACGTACACTAGTGGCGTTGACAGCCTTGGCAACCTCAAGCGGCGCCTCGTCTTCCACGTCCATGTCGCCTTGCTCTTCCTCATTTGCTGCATCGTCAGCCTCCGGCTTCGCCTCTTTCAGAGAATCACCAGACGTTGACGTCGTCTCGTTCTGCTCTTCTGAAGTAGCTGCAGCCTCGTCCACTGGGGCTTCACTTGCTACTTCACTACCAGCGTTTGTCGCGTCCTTCGACTTGTTTGAGTCCACTGATACCGATACCGACTCAACAGCCGAACCCTCTGCAGCTCCAGCGTCGTCCTCGTCCTTTAATTCCTCATTAGATGTTCCCTTTTCCTCGCTACCAGCGTCCTCCTCGCCCTCCACAGTGATTTCCTCGCTCTCAATCGGCTTTGCTTGAGTATGGCGCTCTGCGATCCTCTCGACAAGCACTCGTCTCGTTTGCTGGAGGAACTCGAGGATCCTGTTAGCTTGTCCAGTCAGACACTTGTCGCAGAACCACGGCGCTGCTGGCGTGTTCTGCAGTGCTGGTGTGGCGCACTTAAAGTGCGTCTTGCTCCACGTCCGTCGTCGTGGCTTCTCTCCGACAGGCTGCGCACTTCTGCAGCTCGAATCAAAATACATCAATACATAATCCCTCTCAGTTGTTATAAAAAAACCAATTACACACCTGAGCAGCCTCTTGCTTGGCTTGAGCTGCTGTCTGAGCCGCCACGCGCTCTTTGGCTGTGGGTGAAGGCGTGGGCGCTTTCTTCTCCTTCTGGACGGAGCGAGCGTTTGTGCCTCGTTTACGGATGTTAAGGCGGTCTTTGATGTCCTTGAGGCTCTCCCCAGAGGCCGCGGAGTACATGGACGACCAGCCTGCGTCCGTCTTGAGAGCTGGAATGTATCGTAAGAGAGAGGGGTGAGGGTGAGAGGGGACGTCTACGGGACGAGGACTAGCGAGACGTACAGGGGTTGAGTGTACGCTTCATGTGCAGCGCACAGGGCACAGGCGACGTGTAGACCTGGTCCTTGAAGCGGATAGAGCCGTCGGGCAGCAGGTCGGCGTACACGCGCTTGCGGTAGTAGGACACGTAGAGTTTCTTGGGGCCGGGCGACAGCAATTTCTCGCTGATGAGCGTCGTCAGCACGATGCGCGCGTCCCCCTACAGTAGACAACATGAGAGAGGCAATTAGGGGGGGTTGGTTGCGGGCAGCAAGGGCACAGTACCATGATGAAGGACGAGTGCGGATGTGGACTGTGTGCACTTTGGGCTTTTTAAAAGAGGGGGCAGGCAACTGGGATGGGTGATTGTCTACAGTGGATAATTTAAGTAAGAAAAGGGATTTCACAATTATTATAATGTAGTTACAAAAATTGTTTAAGTAATATTGTGCTTTGCTGTTGTTCATCGTAAATGTGTGTGAAAGGAATTTTGACCCTAATATTTAGCTAAATATGTATCTAAATTCACCTGCATAAAGCCCGTTGCGCTGGTAAATACTTCCCTACAGCTTCTAACACGTAGAGCGAAATGCAGCAAGAATTGCACTCTCAACAGTACAATTTCTGGTCACTTTACCGTTGGGTCACGGTTTTATGAGCTAGCGCGCTTAAACTAGAACTATCGCTTATGAGTATCAGAATATTCACATTGTGGGTCCATACCCGAGTCAATGTCATTTTTGCGACCTAATTGTCATATTTGCCACTTTGGAAAATAACACGTGTGAAGCAGACGCCAAACCAGCTTTGCCTGTGTAGAACCGCTCCACTGGAGTGTCGATCGGGACAGTCGATTCGATCGTACGCTGCAGCAGTGTCTGCCTCGGTCGTAGTATAAGTAGGTACTCACTCAGCACAAGACATCGAAATACAAAATGAAATCGAGGAGAGTAAACGCGCAACGATACAGACTACATTGACATCACGACCTATCAACACTCAAAGAAAATACGTTGACTATCAGACAGAGTTCATGAAATGGTTTTCAGCTCGTGGCTTCCGCGACCGTAACACAGTAACAGGAGGCAAGCTACACATAGAAACTTTAAGAGAAACAGCGAGAAGACTGCTGGTGGTCCAACCATCTGTGGCTACGTCAGTTTTTGACTTGTATAGTCAACAGGTCACGCTCCGCCAAAACTCCAACTCTCATCCTCGCACGAGAGCCGTGTGTTGTAGCGTTATCTACAGAGTGTTTATGTTGTTGGGGTTGTGCCCACCAACACCAACACTCTAGCGGTGTGCAGCGACAACACAACGGTGGCGCAGCGGACAATTTCTTCCGGAGACCAGACATGAGGAAACAGAGTGAGTAGGGCTAGCGACCAAAAGCTCAATACATAAACTTCTTCTACATTTTCATTGGGAGCGACACAACAAAGATTTGTTT